TTCAAAGTTTTTGAGAATAAAATGAAATCATCACCTGGATAGGTTTAATTTTGCATGTATGTGCACAGTTTATAACTTTTTGATTATAACTTAAATTTACAAATATATCTTTAAAATCGCGAAACTGTTTGGAATCATATGGATGTCACACATGGGCCATTGGTCTTTGAGCAAACATAACCACCTCATTCAGTAGAAAAGGAGTAAAAGAAATTCCAAAAAAGATTAATAAGATAGAATTCAAATGTCGCCAGGAAACCCCGTTGAAGCCCAAGATAAGCAAATCAGGACATGGGGTCTGCGTTTAATGACGGCGTTTAGTTTTACAGGGTGGAGATTTTGCCTTGGGTCTTTCTATGTAGGCTTGTGTAAAGGAACAAGTGGGTGTAGGATCAGACGTTCACACTATTTCAGGCACAATTTATCGTGTAACCATAGCTATGCAATCTGATTTTATTGATTTTTTTATTAACTGTCATTGTTATGATTATAAACTCTTTATATAAATAGAAATCAGCCAGCAATTATGAGAACATTAGCCTTATATCCATTCTTGACGCTACTCTAAAATTATATGGTAATTCGAGAAATTTATTTTTCTCCTCTTTCCTAATTAACTGTGTAAAAGAAGTAAATATTTACATTTTTTAAAAATCTACTCTTATTCAACGTTTTAAATATTTCTTGTTACGTTTAATTCAGTCATTTAAATCAAATTTTACTTTATCCTTAAGCCTCTAGCAAAAATCAATTAATCATATTTTAAATCTATTTTTGGATGATTAGTTGAATGCATAATGTATATCATGACGTGATGAAAATATCAATCGGTTGCAGTTCATGTACTTTTAAAGCTGTATCATTTATGATGGTCATTAAATATGAATACTAACTCATCTTTTCGTCGGCTCTTTTTTTCCCACCTGATCAATTAAAAGCTGAACGAACTTAGCTTCATTTATTTTGTTCATTACCTTGAATATTGATTCTAATTTCGTGCGCAAATTAGATTAGTATACTCTTCACGTAATTACGCAGAAAACATACATATTGCTGGCTTACAGAACTTGTTTATATATAAAGTTGATTAAAACTGTATTACATTTAAGCTTCATTCGAAATGAATATTTATTTGTTGCAATATATAAAATTTGATCAATTGATCTCAGTTACATCGGTAAACGTTGTTTGCAAAGAGAGCAAGCTACTTCTTGATTATTGTGTAATAACAAATGCTGTGTTTATTTTGTAGATAAACATACTATAGCTAGATGAAACTGTTACAACTTGATCTTTTAAACAATTTGTAATATATTGTTCAAATAACCAGTACAAACAATAGAGTTTATGCAACAACCCTGAACATGCAAAGTGATAGGTTATTCAAATGAATGTAGATTTACTTCAACTTCAAAGAATATGAATTTATCTAGGAATGTCTGTTCACTCAGAAAACCCTTTTAAAGCCACATTGTAACACCTCTATTTTAAGATGTCATAAATTTTTCACAGAAGAAAACTATTTTGCGTCGCCCCCCCATTTTTTAAGTTTCTAAAATGTTACATATGTAAAATTGATAGTCAAATTGTAAATTAAATCGATTATCAGTAATATATTCAATATCTGTACTCTTTAAAAGAAAATGTGATCTATAGTTAAAATTCTTAGGGTGACTTAGAACATTATGGAATCATTTCGTTTGTGCACATGTTCATAATTATATTGTTGACAAATTTTTCTGACCGTTTTTAACTGCAATAATCAATCATATTGAAATTTTATGTTATCTATCGTTCAAATACAAGCTTTGTTTGTATGTTCTGCTGCTTCTGCTTTGAAAAAAAATGTGTGAATAAGTATTTCTTTTTTAAAACCTGTATTTCATATCGGGATTATCCTTTGTATATTTTTGATGTGTTCACATTTTTTTTCAGTTCTATTTTTTCACTCAAACCAAAATATTGATACATAAGGTACAATGTAACGTATAAATATTTTTGTACAAATAAGTCAAAGGTACAATATATATATATATATATATATATATATATATATATATATATATATATATATATATATATATATATATATATATATATATATATAGCAGAAACATGACATTAAGTGAACAAAGTGAAGAAACCAAGGAGAATAGACAGCATAAATTCAGTTGTATTTTCCTTTGGGATGAAATTAGTTCTATAGATTTAATAACATTACGTCTATGAGACTAATTACTGCCCAGGTAATATTTTCCTACATGTATATTCATTAAGTTGATTTGCTGCTCATTGCAGTGGTTACTTCATGCATAATATGAAGGAAACGAATTTTTGTTGTCTTTATCCTGTCAGCATGTAAAGACAAACTTAAACTACTTGATTTGATTCAAAACGATGTGTTTACGCAAATTTAAGTAGCTTAATATATATATATATATATATATATATATATATATATATATATATATATATATATATATATATATATATATATATATATATATATATATATATATATATATATATATATATATATATAGTCAGTGGCGTTTTCAGACCCATTTTCATGATTTTTCTGTTAAGTCTAAGTTGTAATTACTGGAAATTTGGATTATCTCCCTTTACAAAATTGGTTTATTTCTCATATTTATATTTTGTGTCTGCTAAAATTATATGCCATTGTTAATAATACTTTTGAGAATTTCAAACAAATTATTAAACGTCACAAAGGTGGCAACACACGACAGTCTGTTTTACAGACTTTTTATTCATTTAAGGAGGATAAGATATGGTGTTCTAGTGATGAGAGGATTATGGAAAGAAATAAGCAATTTAATGTGTAACTGGGCTATCAATTGAAAATACTTATTGCATTAATATAAATAAATTTAAGTTTACTTAAAATTTTTTATTGTAATCAATAAGTGTCCTCCTTGAATGTTCAAGTCTGAAATATTGTACAGTGATGTATTATAATGGTCATTTTGTTTCATGTCTTAGGAGAGGCAGAGATTGACCAATCAAAATCAAGCAATTAAAATTCTGGCCACGCGGTGCGTCACTCTGCCTCTTCTCCCACCTACAGCCTTGGAGGACGGACGTTTTTTCAAGTTTGTTATTTACCTCCTTCCACCCCGCCTCCGCCAAAATTTGTGGTTGTAATTTTATATTTTTAAGCGTTTTCAGACCCATTTTCATGATTTTTCTGTTAAGTCTAAGTTGTAATTACTGGAAATTTGGATTATCTCCCTTTACAAAATTAGTTTATTTCTCATATTTATATTTTGTGTCTGCTAAAATTATATGCCATTGTTAATAATACTTTTGAGAATTTCAAACAAATTATTAAACGTCACAAAGGTGGCAACACACGACAGTCTGTTTTACAGACTTTTTATTCATTTAAGGAGGATAAGATATGGTGTTCTAGTGATGAGAGGATTATGGAAAGAAATAAGCAATTTAATGTGTAACTGGGCTATCAATTGAAAATACTTATTGCATTAATATATATATATATATATATATATATATATATATATATATATATATATATATATATATATATATATATATATATATATATATATATATATATATATATATATATATATATATATATATATATATATATATATACATGTAGATAGATAGATAGATAGATAGATAGATAGATAGATAGATAGATAGATATATGTATTAATTTATTTAACAAGGGTACATTTTTGTTATGCTGATTGTTGGCTTTCTCTAATTTTTTTGTCGTGGGTTGGTTTTTCAATATGGAATACATATGGATTCATTTATTAAAAAGATGTACATATAATTTCTTTCTTTACGCGTTTAAAAAAAAACAGATTTGGAACATTTTCTACATTTCATTTGAAATAATATTTAACATTTTCAAAATTGGATTGCAGTAGAATTGGTGATCAATTTCATTATGTTATTGAATTTTCAAAGGAGAGAAAAATTATTCTGTTTGAGAGATATTCTGAAAAACCTAAACATTATAAAGTTGAATAATGTAATTGATACTAATAATATACAATAATAAAACCATACATGTATTTTAAGTTTTATATGAAAAAAATCTAAAGCTGTTTCTTCTTCGAACCCTTTACAACTGATTGTATATTACATTTTTTCTTTGCATACCTTTCCAATTTTTTTTATATATATTACCTATTATCTGTGTTTACATGTGTGTATATATTTGTATATGTCATTGAATTGTTTTCTTAGTGAATTAAGAATTGCATTTAAAAAAGCTTTTTGAATGATGTTTATTGATGACATTGCCAACCGTGTGCTCCTTGTCATGATCGAGTAAACGGGAAAATCCGTAGACATTTAAGTGGAAAAATAATTGCCTAACAATGTGTATGAAAGAGGTAAGTCATCATTTGAACTAACGATAGTTTGTTTTTGCAAACAAGGTCGTTGTATCAACCACAGAATTTGCAAAATGTTGACTTTAAACGGTATTATTGATATCCATGTGTCATCAACTTATTTGTCAGAAGTCCGCCTCTTTTTTAGAAATTGTCCAATTGGTCGTTCGTAGAACATACCTTTTCGTATCGAATTTACTGGGAGACATAAACGCCATATGCAGTTGATAATGGTATATTGCTACATAAATAAGGGAAGTTTACGATAGAAAAGTTGAAGTCATCACGTTTATCTTAAAGTATACTTGTTATTTTGCCATCTTTGACATTTTCTAGTAAAACATCCAAATATGAAAAAAATTTGTCAGACTCTGTGATGTCTTTTATTTTGAGTTCAATTGCGTATATCGAATCAACTTACAAATGAAAATGAATATTGTAAATTTATTAAAACGTCATCGATGTAAATAAAATGTATTAGAGGAAAACAAATCACATACTTCAAGACATTAAGACTACTTTTGACACACAATATGTTTTCAAACATGTTTTATGAGCCTGTTTTGCATTATTTGAATTGTTTACATCTTTATTAATACTTACACTGGCACCACCGCCTTGAGTTGAGTTGACAATGTTTACCCAGCTTCTGGGTGTTGTTTTCTCTCGACACCTCATGGACCTCTCGGAGGCCCTACAGTTATGTTCATTGTTATTGAGGATCTTCAACGGCACCAAATCCCTCCGGTTTTTGCGAACTGGTAAGGAGACCGAACATCCCATTTGAGAAAAGCTTAGTTGCACGTGCAATAACTGATGTCCTACATTTTACCAATTTTTTATATCCTACTTAGGAAAAGCAGTGTTATTGTCTGACATCAATCACAAAAATTAAGGATTTCTGACTTTTAAAATTAATAAGGCATTTCGGTCTTAGATGCGTTGGTTCACAAAACTGATAATACTTCCATTTTCAATTCCAATATGTAATCAATGAAGATCAAATCTCATTTTGAAAATTCAGCTCCTATCTCCCGGTACTTTGGTAATGAGACTTCTAAAAAAAGAATTGACAAGTTGTTAGGTCGCTGCTACAAACTACCTCCAGCGAAAAAATCAGAAACAATATTTCAGTACATCGGCACCTTTCCTATTATAAACCGTGTAAAATCAATTCTTACTGCTTCCCGAAATGGCGCGAACTTCCTATGCGCAAAAACTAAAACACGATGGCAGGCAACTCGCAATGGAATCGATCTAGCTTTAATGCCTAGCGCTTTAATTGTTTGAAGATCGATGGTCGAAACAAAGCCAATTTTCAATACAGATATTTCATTTCAGTTTCAAGTCCTTATCAAAGGGTCGCAATGACGTCACGATATTGAACTGTGCAACGAGAAATATCATTTTACGACTGCTACTTTTAGACTTTACTTTACTATGTTGTCGTAAGTTATAATAGAAAGTGAAATATTTCATAAAACGAAAAAATAAAAAATGATTAAAAAGGTACTAATTTTAGAAAACAGAGAAATTTCTAGATGCATGTTAATAATTAATTCGGGACAAAATCTATATATCATAAATGCTCCTTATGTGTAGTGTGCAATGCCATATTATTTTAATGAGTCTATTCAAAGAAACGCACCTGATATCTTTTGTAAATGCTTTTTTTCTTTATTTAAGATTAGCTAAAATGTTATTCACATTTGAATAATCATATATCTATTATTTGTTAATAAAAATTAGAGAAGCAGGAAAATCGAACAGTAATGAATAAATAAAGTAGGAGAGAAATAACTTTTGGAATATTTGAGATAGAAAAGAAAGAATTTTATTTAATGAGAGCAGGATGGTGGGAAACATGATGAATAATTGAAACAGCCCGTAGAAAATCACCCCAACTTTTGCCAGTGTAAATAATCAGATTCCTTGATTAATGTCTCCATTTCATGCTGCCCTCTGAATTCCCTCTTTTTACAAACTTAGAGTTGGACTGCAGCCAGTTTGTGGAATGAACTTCCGACACATGTAAAAGTTGCCAAAAATGGGGGGGGGGGTTTAAAGTCTGCTAAAACGCACTTTTTTAAGATTGCATTTCCTGAGTTTTTGAACTCTAGTGCAGTGACTTTTTAAATTTTCTAAACTACTGTTTTTTCAAACAAATTTATAAACTTAGCTCGTCTATAATATTTTTTGAATTGTTTAATGCTGGAGCATTATCTATAACGTATTTGATTTTCCTTTTTTATCCTGCATTCATTTCTTTGCATGCTATTTTTTTCAATTTTACGTAATTTTTAAAAGTTTGTACATTTATATAAGTAAAACCTTACTGTTAATTCCTTAGGGTAACTTTTATTATATAGGACCTTCTACATATGTTTTATTTATATTTATGAGTTCATATACTAGTAGACAAATCAAATTGTAACAGCAATGATTGGCCTTCAGTAATAAAACACATCTGTGTTACTCTTAAAGTATTACATGTACTTTCATCTTAATCATAAGAACCATTGATGGCATAAGTGATGTGTTTGCAAGTAATTAGTAAATATTATTTGTTAAGTGTTGTCCTATACCATTAAGCGTGAATTGACCAAGGGTATACTTTTAATTAATTCTCTCTTTCCTTCTAAATTTATATTACATGTAAATTCATAAGTAAATCAACAATGTAAAGTTTCTTCAAAGATGACACATTTTCTCGGGAGTAAAAAATCAAATTTGATGTTATTGAAATATCTTCATTTTTTCTTTCTTTTTCGTATCATTTAATGATCAAGGTACGTTAAGTATCAAAATCGTCCTCTTTTTAATTCAATTTAATTTTTTTCAAGTTTCTCAATCCATTTTTCCCACAGAGCTCTCTTCAGAGATGTTTTCCTCAGAAAATAACACGATGACATTATGACGTAAACATTGCATTATCAGGCTTAGTATGTATTTCGATACAGTGTAAAATATATTGATTTTTGAATAGACATGTCCCCCACTTAAGGAAAAAAAATATAAAGATAGAGTAAAAAGAAATGGTCAACCTTGACCTTTCAGCTTTTGGCCTTAAAGTCAAAAGGGTCTTTTTAGGTTAAAGACATTCTTGGCCTTTAGTTTCATTGAAGCAGACAGATAGCTAAAATTATTATCTGAAAACTTTGTGTACAATATATAAATTTCTGACCTTGGTGCTTGAACTTTTGAGCTCAAAATTAATAGGAGTCATTTTTAAGTCAAATTAACTACCCGTATAAAATTCCATTGCAAAATCTAAAAGGGAACTAGAGTTATCACCAGGAAACCAGAAACAAAAGGGGTCTTTTTTAAGTCATTGCGAGTTATGATATAAAATTCATTTAGATTAAGTTTAAGAAAAATTAAGTTATCCTAAAATCCTTTTTTGCATTGAATTCCTTACCTTGACCTTTAACTTTCTGACCCAAAAATCATTAGGGGTCTATTTGAAGTCTCTAGGAGCCATGTTATTTAACTCAATATAAAACTCAATCAGAACTAAAAATAAAATTTCATAGATTAAGTTCAAGAAAAATTAAAGTTATCATACGGAAACCATTTTTGCAACATATAACTTTCTGACCTTGACCTTTTGATTCCAAATCAATAGGATTATTTTTAGGACCATGGAAAGTTATGATAAAAATTTCATTGCAAAATCTTGAAAGCTTTTAAAGGTATCGTTCGGAAAGAAAAAAAAAATGCAAACAAACGGAATTTGTGAACTTTTGACCATCACCTTTCACTTTTTCATCTCAAAACCAATTGTGTTTTTGAGGCCATATGGAGTTGTGATATAAAATTTCATTGAAAGAAACTCAAAGAAAATTAAATTTGTCTTCTGGAAATGTATGAATTATTGACCTTGACCTTTGACCTCAAATTTCATCAAAGATCCCTTTTAATTTTGAGGTCAAAAGGTAACAGATCAAGATCAGAAATCCATACATTGCAAATAACATTTTCCATGTGATAACTTTAGCTTTCTTTGAATTTTATTCAATGAAATTTAATTTCAGAAATCCTTATGGTCTAAAAAGACACCTATAGATTTTGAGGTCAAAATGTCAATGGTCAAAGTCATAATTTCAAATATTTTGTCTCTGTGTAACACTTTCGCTTCTGGACGATATCTTAAAAACCTTTTAGCTTTTGCAATGCAATTTTATATCACAATTCCTTATGGCCTAAAGAAGACCCTTCTTTAGGCCATAAGGAGTTGTGAAATAAAATTGCATTGCTCAAAGGCTTTTAAAGAGTAACAGAACATTAAGTACATAGGAGTAACAGATCCCAGCTTTCACTGAAATCGGGGATATTAATTTGGGTCTCTCCATCTGTCTGTGTGTAACACTTCCGTTTCCGGGCGATATATTTAAAAGCCTTTGAGCTTTTGCAATGAAATTTTATATCTCCCTTGGGCCTAAAGAAGAACCCTATAGATTTTCAGGTGAAATGGGCAAAGGTCAAGGTAATAAATTCTGTCTGTATGTTACACTTTCGTTTCCGGGCGATATCTTTAAAAGCCTTTGAGCAATGAAATTTTATTTCACTTCTCCTAATGGCCTAAAGAAAGGTCTTTCTAGTCCTTTGTTTTAAGTTGAGATTATGGGAAAATGAACTCTGAAAGTAGAATGTAGTAGTATGTAGTATGAACTATGAAGAAATATTGGATTGTTTCAAAGTATCGGTACTCGAATACTGATTTTAGCATTCGATGCTCAAACCTTTCGTAGTTGACTGTTGACAACTAACCTCAAATATATACATGTATATATTTAAAATCACTACCTTATATTTCTCCATAACATATAACATTTTGCTTCTTTTCCTTTAATCTCTCATGAATGACAGTCATCTTTATTCCTTCCTCTATTACTAAAGAATCTGAAGCACAGTAGGTCATGCATTTCCACCTTTTATGACTTTTAATTATATATTATTATTCTCGAGAACTTAAATTGCAGGAATTTCCCGTTAACCATGAAACACTTTTAATAAACATTCCCCTCAGGAAGATATGTTCATAAATTTAAAAAAAAAATTGCTACCAGACTTCAAAAAAAATAAACAACGTTTTAAGCATATTCGCTGTCGCTTCACCAACCATGACTTAATAAAAGAGTTTTCCAAAATTAAACTAAAATTAATTAAACATAATTAAACTAGTTTCGACAGAAAACACATTACATCTTACACTCTGAAATAAAGTATATACATCTATGAACAATCATTTTTAACAGTAACAAGAGGCCCATGGGCCACAATGCTCACTTGAGTAACTAATGGACCTTCTGTTCTTCATCAGCATTCTTTTTCCTAAACAGTGTATATCTTATCTAAAACTTAGATCACATATTGTGGGCCCATCCTACCCCTGGGGGTCATGATTTGAACAAACTCAAATTTACATTGTCTGATGATTCTTCCATATATACGTACATGTAGATATGACTTATCATTGCTTTGCTGTTCTTGAAAGAAGATTTTTAAAGATGTTTCTATATATTTCTCTTCAAAACTTTGAATCCTCATTGTGTTCCCACTCTATCCCCAAGGGTCAAGAACAAACTAGAATGTACAACAGCTAAGGATGCTATCATGTGAATATGACTTATCAGGCTTTGCTGTTCCCCTAAAAAAGATTGTTAATCAAAATTTTTTCCTGTGTATTCCTATGTAAGACTTTGATCACCCATTGTGGCACCTCCCTATCCCCAGGGATTGTAATTTGAACAAATTAGAATAACCACTACCTGAGGATGCTTCCATATATATATGACTGCATGATAATAGCTGTGCTATTCTTGAGAAGAAGACTTTTAAAGATTTTTACATTACATTCCCATGTAAAAGGTACACACTGCAACCATATCATAAATAAGTGGCATTGGTTATTTCGCAATTTGGAAAAAAAATTAAAAAGTAGCAAATTCAAAGAATTGTGGTCCCCATCTTTCGGTGTCTTAGTTGTGGGGATAAAAATTTTTGTAACTGTCTTGTTTGTGTGTCCTGTCTTCTTGTCCATCGTACAAAAAAGATATATATTTTTGAATGAATAAAAGTTACGGCAAAGATAAAGCTTCTCAAAGTCAAATATTATAATACAATCCTAGAGGTCTTGTGGCATGTAATTTTTTGATAAGTAGGCCAAGCTTCTACAGGTCAAGGTTATGTAGTAAAAAA